GCCTACAAGCAAGTAGCGATGGCTAAACTTGATCTAAATAAAACCCAAGTGTTCCTGGTGGCGGCTAAGGGGTATATGACGTGTGGAGGACGACCACAAGAGAGTTTGGGTCGTGCTCCAACCCTAGGATGCGTCCCTACTAGACTCTAAACGATACAAGCCCATTGGGCTAACTTAAGGTGGCGCAGCACCCTGGACAGAATAGACCTCTCGGTGATTTTTGGACTGTTGACGCCGCTTCTGAGCAGGTATGAGTACGAGGTTAGATCCGTATGAAAGTAGACTTTATTAGCTTTCCAACAAGTCTAGAATCACCCCAATCCGAGTCCAGTATGTAACCGTGGCGACCATCGCCAGATTGGAGGTGTGTTGCAGTCCGAATCCAACCCACGCGAGTCCTTTTCCCTTTCGGTCTTCTCCTTGATTCCTAATCAAAACAAGAGTGCACGTGTCTCCAAGATCTAAACAGGATGGACAAGAGCTCAAGAAGGAACTCACTTGATGATTAAGTTTTTGAGCACGAGCATGAGTAATAGGACCAGCAGGTGTCGGCGTGGACGGCGTGGATGTATGATCGGTGTTGATGTCCTCATCAGCCTAGAAAAGTCCGGCAGGGCCAGCACAGGGGCTGACGTCACCGCCCCTTTGAGGGCTGTGAAGGCCGCCGCGGCGTTGTTCCATGTGAACCCCTCCTTCTTCAGGAGCGCGGTGAGGGGTGCGGCGATGGCGCCGTAGTTGTGGACGAATTTCCTGTAGTAGCCCGCCAGCCCGAGGAAGCCGCGCACCGCGCGCGCAGAGCGGGGCCGCGGCCACTCATGGATGGCCTGGACCTTGGCGGGATCCATCACCACGCCGGATCTAGAGATGATATGGCCGAGGTAGCTGACGGAGTCGACGCTGAACGAGCACTTGGACCTCTTCACAAAGAGGCGGTGTTGGCGCAGAATGGTGAGGACGACGCGGAGGTGTCGGAGATGGTCCGCCCAGCTCTTGCTGTAAATCAAAATATCGTCGAAGAAAACGAGGACAAACCGGTGGAGGTGAGCACGGAGCACGTCGTTCATGAGCGCTTGGGAAGTCACTGGGGCGTTGCACAGCCCAAACGGCATGACCAAGAACTCGTAGAGGCCGTCGTGGGTGCAGAACGCCGTTTTGTGGACGTCCTCTGGCCGCATCCACACCTGGTGATACCCCGACCGAAGATCGAGCTTGGTGAAGAAGCACGCGCCATGGAGCTCGTCCAGGAGCTCGTCGACGACGGGGATGGGGAACGCGTCCTTGACGGTGAGGGCGTTCAGGGCGCGGTAGTCGACGCAGAAATGCCATGAGCCGTCAGTCTTCTTGACGAGGAGGACCGGTGAGGAGAACGCCGAGTCGCTGCGTCGGACGATGCCCTGGTTGATCATGGCGGCGCATTGCCGCTCCAGCTCGTCCTTGTGGGCCGCCGGGTAGCAGTAAGGACGGACAGCCATAGGAGGAGCATTCGGCTTGAGAATGATGCTGTGGTCGCGGGCGCGGGGTGGAGGCAGTCCCACGGGCTCGGCAAAGACGTCCTCAAAGGTGGCCAGTAGCTCGTCGAGGAGGGACGTGCTGGCCATCGTGGAGTGGAGCCCTGGCGCGCTGGAAGGCGGCACCCCGGTCCAGCAGAAGTCACGCCCCCGTAGCCGGAACGACATGGTGTGCTTGGCGAAGTCCCAGACAATCGGTTCGAGGGTGGCCATCCATTGGGTGCCCAGCACCAGATCGTATCCTGCAAGGGGCATGACAAAGAGGTCGATGTTGAAGTCAGTGCCGTCGACGGAGACTGGTGCGGCCCGGATGACGCCGGGGCATGTGATCCGCTCGCCATTGGCCACGATCGCCGTGAGTCGAGGCCTGGGCTGGACCGTCAGCCCGGTGCGCGGCGCGGCGCTGGCGGCGATGAAGTTGTGGGTAGACCCACTGTCGAGGAGGGCGACGAGCGTGGTACCGCCCAGCGAGACGGCGATCTGCAACGTCCCGCCGATTGGCACTCCTGCCACTGCGTGCAGGGAGAAGATCGGCGACTCCGTCTCCTGCTCGTCGGTTGCGGCTGCTTCGTCGGTGTCGGAGATCTCGACGCCGCCGATGTGGAAGATGCGCCGTCAGACGTGATTGTGCCCCCTGGTGTACTTTTCGTTGCAGTTGTAGCATAGGCCCAAGCGGCGGCGCTTCTCCTGCTCCTCCTTGGAGAGGCGCTTCGCCGGCCGGCCGTCTCCCTGGTTCGCGGGCACCTGAGCCTTATCGGTGGCGGCCGTGGGCGCCGGGAGGGCCGGACGTGATCCCGGTGCTCCCAGGACGCCGCGCGCAGGGCTCTTGGCCGGAGTGGCGGTGTACTGTTCCATGAGCTCGAACTGCCGGGCAAGGCTCATGGCGACCGCAAGGGTTTGTAGGTTTTGCATCTGGACCTGGAGGCTGAGCGGCGGCAAGAGCCCCCCCGTGAAGAGCTAAACCCTTTGTGCCTCGTCAAGGCGACCGACGCGGGGAAGCAGTGCCTGAAAGTGGTCCTGGTAGTCGGTCACCGTCCCCGTGCGGCGGCAGGCTGACAGCTCAAAGAGGGGCGCCGCATGGAGCGGGGGCCCGTAGCGTAGGTTGAGGAGCTCCGTGAAGCGCGGCCATGTCGGCGTGCCCTCGTCCTCTTGGACCTGCATGTACCACAGTTGGGCTCCCTCCTGAAGATTGTACGATGCCATCCAAACGCGCTCCTCGTGCATGATCTGCTGCTGCAAGAAGGACTCGCATTTGTTGATGAAGATCAGCGGGTCACTCTTGCCGTTGTAGTGCGGGAACTCGGGGCGCCAGTGCTTCGGCGGCCGATCTTGGTGGTGTTCGCCCGTGCCCGGGCGCCCTCCGGATGCCGAGGATCCGGTGACGGAGAGATCGTGGATCGCCTTCGCGTTGGCCTCGATCAACTTGTGCATCAGTTCCATGTTCTTGGAGAGTGCGTCGATGGACGCCTTGAGATCGTCTCCCATGTCGTCGGCGGAGCAGGAAGCGACGGACGACGAGGTTGGAGATGCGGCGGCGGCGGATGGTGGTGTGGCTTCGGTGGTTGGCGGCGGGGCGGGCTGGACGGCAGCGGAGGAGGGAGCGGATCGACGAGACCTAGATACCAGGTTGTCAAGCGCCTTGGCACTCAACGACGGCGGCCCGCGACTACGTAGTTCGTAGTCGCGCTCCAGTCCTCACCGCGAGGTTATACCCCTCTGCTGGTGGCTTAACGAGAGTAGAGGTAGGAGATTAGATGATAACTGATTGCTTGCCTTCATTGTTTTGAGTCCAGAGAATATATGAGCCAACCGGCTAACAAACTGGGAAACAAACGATCCTAATTTTAAGGCCTAATTTTCTTCTAGCCACTGGGCCCGGCCTTGCCATCCTCGTCCGAGGTGATCGCGGCCCTTGCCGCGTCGCGCGCTGCAGCCCGCTCTGCTGCCCTACGGATGTCTCGCGCCCTGCGCTGCCTTGCGAATGTCCGGCCCCACATGACAGCAGGACAGCAAGGCCGGCGGAGGCCAGTTTACTTTGGGTATTCCACACGACGATGCAACCTCTATTGTCACGGATTGATAGGGGCCTGCATTTCTTGTCTTGCTATCAAAATCTTTGTGCAGATACAAAGGGCCACAGAGCTGTTATATTAAGCGCTGCTTGGCAACACCAGATTTTCAAAATAAATGTAGGAATAAGGAGAACATAGGATTCGGGACCCCACTTAGGTTCCTTCCTACATACTGGAATGCAAAACAAAACAGGAATTACAGATGAAGCATTTGAATACAATGTCAGAAAAAAAATCAGAAATTTGAACGTGTTTTGGCATTTGAACAGTTTTAATTAACATATTTACATATGAACATTTCCGACATTTATCTCGAGGGAAACCTTTTAAATTTGTCACAAATCCACATCAATATGTTGCTGACCAACAGATGCCAGCGATTTGTGAATCCACGCATCTGAATGGCTGTTAGTAATTTTGGCAATCACTTCTGGAAGGAACGCAACCGCCGTGTTTTTGATGCTGTCTCCAGGCTCCCAAATGTTCTCCTCGTAAGTCTCGTGGGATCGCCGCGGGTAATTCTGGCCTGGCCGCGTTGCTTAGCTTGCTGGATGTCTAGAGGAGATTGCTGTTGTTAGTCGCGCCATTTGTTACCATGTAATCCCTGACGTTTTTTTGTTCCTGTATGTACTTTGCCCAATCAGGCTTGCGGAGGCGTGCGTCTTGCACTCCCATCCGCCGGCCGTGATCTGTGGTGAGTACTCGTTGTATCGGTCTCTGTACCACTCCTCTTAATGAAATACACGAAAGTGTTCACGAAAAAAAAAAAGGTAAGAGGTGTACTGGCCGCACCGAGGAATGCATGGTTAGCCAGGTACCATCTTGTATTAGACTCAAAGGCAGCATAGTTAGTTTAGCCTACGAATCATACGAGGCGATCTTCTTTGCTAGCTTCAGCAGCTTTTAAGGCAAAACATGGTTGGCTCTGAATGTGCATGTAAGCTACCATAGTGTGGCATCTTCTCTGACTCTTTAAGTACCATCTAAACTTGTGCAGCCAGCTGTCCATACTCAAGCACCTACCATGGTGGACAGGGTCTCACCCTCTTATAGGCTTATGCATGCAAGGCCTTCTTGAGCTAGTCACAATGGTGAGATTCTGTTGGCAGGGCGTCAGGGAATGCTCATTTTTTGCAACAGCAGAGATCAGGAGGCTTGGTATAGTTACTTCTCACCTTTTCACAATCACACATGCATTTACATTCAATGACCACACCACGATATGCTCGCTTCGTTTGCTCCTATCCTATTTGTTCAGGTTAAGGCGTACAGTCTTTTATGAATTTCTTGTCATTCTCCCTCTCCGGGACACCTGAATTTGATGATCTCGACAGGTTCACGCACCGGTGAGAATCGGTTCTAGCTACTTTGGAGTCAACACATACATCTTGCAAGCATGAGTATCTACTGCCTCCTTCAGTTATCCTTGCACCGATGATGTAACCTCACCCTGCAACCAAACAAAAAAAAAATCACACACACAAAATAAGTTTGAGAATTCCTTGCAACAAAAAAGAAAAAAGATTATGCTATGGTAGAACTTGTCTATGATCAGAGAAAATGCAAGCTTACGGTCCACAGATCATGAGCATCGACGACGGTGGGTTCATTAAGACCAATGCTGCTCCAGCTGGCAGTAATGGATGCTTCATCAGACCCTCTGTTCCATAGAACAACTGCAACTCTCCCTCCACTTAATGGACCAGCTCAAACCTGATCACAAGATCATGAATGTATTATAAACCAGCTAGTTTACTCATGGCATTCGGCCAACCTTGTTTACTTACTTGTTGGTCTCCATCTTGTAGCACTTTGCGCCCTTGCACCCCAAGCACATCTGAACAATTCACCAATCGTTGAAGCTCACTATCATATCATCTCATATTTCATAATTGGAGAAATGAATGAATGAACACAGCTATTTCCTTTACCTTGATTAACCGCGATGACGTTATGATTGCTGAGGATTTCCTTGGTATCGTTACTCATCGAGCGGATGTCGCAGCCAATCAGAAGAGGTGCCTGCACCACGGCAGTTCAGCGCCATGGTCATGAAAAACGGCAGTTCTATTGTACTGATTGATGGTTACAAATGTCATTACCTTCACTAGAGCCCATATGCTGAAATGGGAGCGGTACTCCTCTGTTGACATCCCCCCGTTTCCGACTTCCAGCATGTCCGGGTCTGAAAGCATAAATAAATTGCATCTCACTCTGAATTCAAGAAAAGGCAAGCCCAAAGTCTCTAAGCCCCGAGGACTAGACTAACCATTCCATCCACCAGGCCGTGCATATGATGCCCATTTGTCATTAGCATCGGCGATGGCCGTCATGCTGAAACATTACAAGGAAAAAGATGCATCATCAGATATTGATATGGATACCATTACCAGCATGAGTAGCGAGTAGGGCATGTTCATGCTGCCAAATGGTAAAGCTAGCCAATTGTCTGAAGTAAACGACTAGAAGTTCCTTCCTTGTGAACTTCACCAAAATCTTGCACATATCGTTAGCACAGCTTTAGCTTGTCAAGGTATAATGTACTCATGTTCACTGATGACTGATCTAAAAGAAAGGGTGTATGTAGTGTTCACCTTCCCCAGTTGTCCTGGATGTCACCGGTTGTTCTCCAACTGTTTCCTACACCACTTGCCCATGTTGCTGGGTCATTCACACCCCTACACAACAACATTTTCAAAACCAAACAACTGAGTTCAAATTTCAAACACAAAATTCGGTCATCTGTTAAAAAGAAAAAGAGCAACAGTTACCATTCACAAAGGGAGAAGAAAATATTCCTCCCAGAATTCAGAAGGGCTTTGCTCATGTTGATATATCTGAATTTTGTCGCAAGCAATTTCAGTCTCTCAAAGTAGCACGATAAGGAGGAACTGTTAAAATCTAGTGCTAGTCGATGCTCACCTTGGCTGCGGACTCAATCCCTGGTCATTGCAGTTGTCATACTTCAAGTAGTCAACTCCCTTAGATTATTTTCATAAAAAAGGAAAAAAAAAATCAGTTCAGGCAAGAAAGAAAGGCTTTGATTTCAATTTTCACAATTTACAAAGTTTCAATCTAGCTAGACGGCACAAAATGTACCCAAGATGCGAAGGCTTTTGCATCTTGCTCTTCATATCCGAGCGAACCAGGCATCTGATTGCTGCAAGTTCGTGACCTGAAAGGAGAAATCCATTGGACTGAAGTTATTTTCTTTCATTGAGTTCCTTGTTAGAAACCGAACGGCGGCGAGCAGAACGCGAGCAGCAGCGAGTGGAATCAGAATGATGAACTCGAATGATCGTTTGGTGCTGCCTGGAAAGCGCAGCGGTTTTTGATGCATTGTGTTCTATTTATTGAAATACAGAAGAGATCATGCCGCCTATGGCGCGCACGATGAAGACTGTGCGTGTCCATCCCCACGCATCACGACGTCCGGCCATGGCGGCATGCAGCTAACTACCACTACTCCTAGCGCGCGATCACCACAAGCCGGCATCTGCGCGCATGCACGAATGAGTAAAGGGAAACATGCTGCCTATCTATAGCACATAGGAGTAACTAACAATTCTCCTCCTACTCCTAGTGTGCCTGCTGTACATGATGAACACCGAGTTTGGAGCGCAGCTCACAGAAGCGTTCGCGCCCCAGAGCCTTGGTGCAGATGTCCGCCAGCTGCTCCACCGTCCCAATGGACTGAAGCTGAACCCTGTTCTCCTCGACACACTCTCGAATGTAATGAAACTTTATATCAATATGCTTACTTCGGTCGTGGAACACGGGATTCCGGCTGAGCGCAATGGCGGACTGGTTGTCGATCTTCAGCAAAATGGTGGCCGCCTCCTCGCCCTTGAGCTCGGCCAGGAGACGAGCGAGCCAGACACCTTGGCATGCAGCAGTGGCCGCGGCTATGTATTCTGCCTCGCAAGATGATAAGGCCACGACGCGCTGCTTCTGTGACTGCCAGGTGATCACGTTGCCGCCGAGGAAGAAGACGACTCCAGTGGTGCTCTTGCGGGAGTCGATGTCGCCGGCCAAGTCGCTGTCGCTGTAGCCGACGAGCTGAGCTTCCTTCTTCCTCCTGTAACAGCAACCGAACTGCAGTGTGCCTGCTACATACCTGAGCACCCTCTTGACAGCAGCCAGGTGCTCAGTGGTGGGAGCCTCCATGAAGCGACTGATGTAACCCACCGAGTATGCGAGATCGGGCCTGGAGTTCACCAGATACCGGAGGGAGCCGACGATGCTGCGGTACATGGTTGGATCAACAGATGGCGCCGAACTCTGCTTGCTGAGCTTCAGGCAGGGCTCCATGGGCGTGTGACTGGGATTGCAACCAGCCAGGCCTGCCGACTCCAGGATCTTTGCCGCGTATGCACTTTGGCAGACGGTGATCCCGGCCTCGTTCTGGGTTACCTCCAACCCCAGATAGTAGTGAAGGAGGCCGAGATCACTCATCTTGAATTTCGCCTTCATCTCCTCCTTGAACGCGGTGATGTCGCTGTTGTTGCCGTCCGTGATCACCAGATCGTCCACATAGACACCGACGACAAGCCGGCGATCACCCACACCGCGTAGGTACACGGCGTGCTCGGAGGTGCTCCGCTGGAAGCCCAGCTCGATTAGGGAGGAGTCGAGCTTGGCATACCAGGCGTGGGGTGCTTGGCGCAGGCCATAGAGCGCCTTTACCAGGTGCAGGACCTTGTTCTCTTGGCCGCGCAGGACGAATCTAGGCGGCTATTCGACGAAGACTTGTTCTTGGAGTACGCCATTCAGAAACGCGGACTTGACGTCCATGTGGTGCACTGCCCAGCCTTGTGACGCGGCGTGGGCGAGCAGCAACCTTACGGACTCAAGTTGGGCCACCGGCGCGAACACTTCTTCAAAATCGATGCCCTGCTGCTGCACATACCCCTTGGCGATGAGACGGGCTTTGTACTTGGTGATCACCCCCGTGGCGTCCTTCTTGGTCTTGTAGATCCATTTCAGGCCGATCGGCCTGACGCGTGGAGGAGCGTCGACGAGCTCCCAGGTTCCGCTTGCCTCTATGGACATCATCTCGTCCAGCATCGCGTGACGCCAATGCTCATGCCGCATCGCCTCCTCGAAAGTCGCCGGCTCGGCGTCGCTTGCCAGCATGAGGTGCTCCTCCAGGTTCCGCTCGATGAAGCCGGGCGGAGTCGACTGGCCGATGACGTTGTCGACGCGCCGAAAGCGGAGGGGTGCGTCGTCATCGTGATCAGCATCCAGCAGTTCGCTGGCTCCAGTTCCTGGCGGCGACGCGAACTCGATGACTTGGTGCGGCACCGGGCTCGTCGTCTCGCCAACAGGCGCACTAGTCGTGGGAGTCGCCGCGGGCATGTCCACGGCTGATGGCGGCGTCGATGCTGAGGGTGCAGGTGATGCAGTTCTTAACGTCGAGGGCGCAGCTGCTGATGTTGTAGTGGCGGTGATCACCGCAGGATCCAGAGGCTCGGATTCTTCGATGACAAAGCCACCGGGATCGACGTCGTGATGAGCGGTCCATGCCCACTACGCCGCTTCATTGAAGATGATGTCGCGGCTGATGTGGACACGCCTGGTCAGTGGATCGTAGACCCGGTACGCCTTGGAGCCGGGTTCGTAGCCGACGAAGATCATGCGCCGGCTGTGATCATCCAATTTCTTTAGGTTCGGCGAGGTCACCTTGACATGGGCGACGCACCCGAACGTCCGGAGGTGGTGCACCGCCGGCGCGCTCCCCATCCACAGCTCATATGGCGTCTTTCCCCCGATGGCCTTGCAGGAGGACCGGTTCAAGAGATACACGGCCGTCGCCATGGCCTCCCCCCAGAACACGCCAGGGAGGGCCTTGGCCTTCATGATGCTACGCGCCGTGCCTACGACGGACTGGTTGTGGCGCTCCATGATGCCATTTTGTTGGGGCGTGTACGGCGTCGTGAGCTCGCGCCGGACCCCCAGGTGAGCGCAGTAGTTGGTGAAGTCTGCCGCCGTGAACTCGCCCCCGCGATCGGTACGCAGGGCGAGCAGCTTCTTCCGGACTTGCGTTTGGCTGCGGCTTGGATGTTCTTGATGGCGGCGGCGGCAACATCTTTGCTCGGCAACAGGGCGATCCACATGTAGCGTGAATAATCATCAACGAGCAAAAGAAAGTACCGGTTCCCGCTCGGCGTCGGTGGCGTGATGGGGCCGCAGATGTCGCCGTGAAGGAGCTACAATGCCTCGGTCGAACGCCTGAGCGCCTTCTGCGGAAACGGCGCCCGGCGCTGCTTGCCGGCAAGACACGCCTCGCAGACCTGCTCCACCTGGTTGAGCAGGGGCAAGCCGCGGACCAGCTCTTCGCGCGCCATCTTCCGGAGTGCGGTGAAGTTGATGTGGCCGAAGCGTGAATGCCATGTCCAGGCCGCGTCGTCGTGGCGCGCAGCCAGGCAGACTGGCCGTGCTATGGTGACGTCGAGCATGTACAGTCGCCCTAGACTCCGTGGGATCCTCGCGAGCAGGCGACGCTCCTCATCCCGTACGTGCATCACGCCTTCCTCCACGAGCACCTGGAGGCCGCCTTCGTCGAGCTGGCCGACGGAGATGATGTTGGCGGTGAGACGAGGCAGGTAGTAGACATTGGGGAGTGACCGGTGCTCCCCGTTCTTGCAGGTGAGGAGCACGGTGCCGCAGCCTTCGATCCGTGCGCTGGAGCCGTCGCCGAACCTGACGGAGCCGATGACGCCGGTGTCAAGGCTGGCGAAGGCAGTCTTGGACCCGGACATATGATTGGAGGCGCCGGTGTCCATGATCCATCGCTTCGGATCTGGATCTGCGTCGGAGTCGAGTGCGGCGAACACCTTGCGCTCGATGAGGTGCAGGTCGTGGGTCGACGCCGGTGCTGGAGCTTGGTGTGACGCCGGCGGCGGAGCTGTGACGGCGCGTCGGTGGGGAATGAGTCGATGGCCATCATGAGCGTGGCCTCCTCCTCTTGGGCCACATAGGCCTCTTGGGCCTGCTCCTCCTTCTTCTTGCCGCGGCAATCACGAGCCCAATGGCCCTTCTTGCCACAGTGGGGACATGGGTCATCCGGCGGCGGGCGCGAAGAACTTGAGCCATTCCTGGAGTCGCTGCTGCCGCCGGTGCCGCGGCCACGGCCTCTGCTGTGGCCCTTTCCGCGACTGCCGGAGCCAGAGCCACCACACCCAGACTCGCCGGCCTTTTTCTTGTACTTCTCCACCCACTGCTCCTCAGTGAGCAGCAGTTTGCCGCTCGCGGTGTGCGCCGGAGCGGGCTCGACGTCGTCAGCGGCTTTGAGTTGGCCGGTAACCTCCTCGATGGAGAGCTGAGAGATGTCAAGCAGAGTTTCGATGGAGATCACGAGTTGCTTATACCGTGGACGGACGACGCGCAGGTACTTGGCCACCACCTTCTCGTCAGGTTCCGGGTCGCCCAGCGTCGCCAGGCGTTGCACGATGCCCGTCATGCGCAGGGCGAAGTCCTCGATGGGCTCTCTGATGGGTACAGGCCCGATCTTCCGAGAGGTAGCCGATAAGTTCGATTTGTGGAGATCTCGACGTTGGTGATCCGGCTTCAAATCAGACGTGATTCGAACCCTGCAACCGTTACACCACTGCTCCGTTGGTTATCAACCAAGCACAACTTGATTGACCTCGCCAAGAAGGCTTTTCCGCAAGCGAATCGAAGAGCACAAGCAAGAAGGTAAAACACATAATCGATATTGCAAATATGAATGACGCGAATATTAATAGAGGGTTCTAGAACTCGGTTCCAAAGGACTAATCGACACGATGGAGGAGATCAAGAACGGGGGCCTGGATCTTTGTAAAAGGATTTGTCACCACAAGTTACAATGAACGATTGAGTTTCTCGATGGAAAACTAAACTCTAAACAAAACCCAATTGTGTAGCAGCGGTAATGGCGGCTGTGTTTATAGTCTAAGACTCGACCTAGGGTTGGGGACGGCCGGGGTTGGGCGCCCACAACTTGGGCTTAAGGTCCGACACGATACATGGCCAAGTTGGCCCAAATAGGTGACGCAGCACCTTGCCATGGTCACACAGAATGATCCACGGACCTTCTGGAGCTGGGACCAGATCCAAAACGACGGCGTCGTCGTCCCCTTCCAACGCATCCAAGAACGGCCTGTTTCGATGTCGTATGAGAAAGTTATGACC